AAAGTATGAGTAAATTTCAGATTCTTCTTTGTCTGCTCTAACAAAAGGCCTTATAACTCATGGTCGTGACCTAGAAAGAAAGTCAAAACAAAGATCAAGAGGAAGGTCCAAGTCTCGACATCTTGATAAAGCCTACAATTACTGCAAAAAGAAGGGTCGAATTAAGTTTAAATGCTGTAAGCTTCAAAACAAGAATAAGAGGAAACAATCTTGCTCAAAGTCTTATCCACCAGTTGATCAATCAATTGTTGTCAATGTCACTCAAAGCTCCAATTTTGGTGAATTACCTATTGTCACTGAGTGTGAGTCAAAATCTTCTGATGAATAGATTCTTGACTCTACATGCACATTTCATGTTTGCTTTAGACATGAGGCTTTTGTGACATATACTCCATCATCAACTATAGTCACCTTAATGGGCAATAACTCATCTTGCAAAAGTGAAGAAATTGGGAATGTTCCCCTCAAAATGTTTACTGGGAAAATCCACACTCTAAGCAATGTTTGACATGTTCTAAAACTGAAAAGAAATCACATTTCACTAAGCATGATTGACTCTCAAGGCTACCACTTTGTCAATGATGATGGTATCGTGAAGGTATGTAAAGGGGCCCTTGTTGTGATGAAAGGGCATCAGAAAACTGCTAACCTATATGTTTTTGAAGGGAATACAATAATGGGTGATATTATGGTTACAATCTTATCCTTACCTGTATAAGAGAAAATTAGATTATGACATATGCGATTGGGACATATGGGAGAACAAAGGTTGGTTGAGCTAAGTCAACAAGGTCTCATTGATCAACCTAGGTCAAAAACTTTAGAATTATGTGAGCATTACATTTATGACAAGCATACTCATTTTAGTTTTCCAATAAGTCAACACAAATCAATAGAATTCTAGACTATGTTCACTTAGATCTATGAGGGCCAGCAAGTGTTCCATCCCATGGTGGTGCTTTATATATGTTAACCTTCATCAAGGATTATTCAAGAAAAGTATGGGTATATTTATTAAAACAAAAATCTAATGTTTTTCATCATTTCAAAGAATGAAAGTTTCTCATTGAAAAATAGACTGACTGATGCATCAAGGTTCTTCAAACTAACAATTGGATAAAATTCTGTTCAAATCAATTTATTGATTTTTTAAAGTCTAAAGGAATACTGCATCATCTTACCATTTGTCACACACCACAATAAAATGGTGTAGTGAAGCACATGAATCGGACTATTCTTGAGAAAGTACAATGTCTTCTCTCCAATATTGGTCTACCAAAATCTTTTGGGCGGAAGCTGCCTCTATGGTAACTTATCTTATCAACAGATCTTAGTTAATTGCCATTGAAAAGAAAACTCCACAAGAGATATGGTCTAGCTCTCCCGTTCATTATTCTTTTCTTAAAGTTTTTGGATGCCCAACCTATATTCATGTCAACAATGGGAAGCTTGAACCATGATCAGTTAACTATATATTTCTCGAATTCAAGCCAAAAGTCAAATGATATAAATTATGTCATCCTAAGGATCAAAAAATTATCTACAGGAAAGACGTTATCTTTGATGAATCTGCTCTACTAAAGACATCCAAGTCAAACCAAGTTTCAACTCTTGAAAACTTGTCTGAATAAGGCCAGGGTGTCAATCCTCAACATGAATATATCAATTTATTTTAACATTCTTCAATTGAGATTGAGGTACCATCCTCTATTAACTCACCACCATTACCAATTGTTGACACATGAATAGAGCATCTAGGTATTCAATTGCAAGAGATAGACCAAGGCGAGAGACACAACCTTCAGCTTGATACACACATTGACTACATTGCATATGCCTTAGTCATTGCAGAAAAATTGAGAATATGAATGAATTGGATTCTTTTACTGAGGCAATCAAGTACAATGACTTAGTAAAATGGATTACCACAATGTACGAGACAATGGAGGCACTTTGAAAGAAATGCATTTGGATTTGATAGAATTATGAAGAAACAAAAAACCCATTTAGGGTAAATAGGTATTCAAATTCAAAGGGCATTCCAAGTGTTAAAGAACCTTAGTATAAGGCACAATTGGTTGCTAAGAGATTTAGCCAAATCTCTTGTGTTGACTACAATGACATTTTCTCTCTTGTGGTCAAACATGTCTCCATATGTGCGATTTGGAGCCTCACAGCATATTATGATTGTGAATTAGAACAAATAGATGTTAAAATAGTATTTTTACATGGCAAACTTGAAGAAGAAATATATTTGGTATAGCTAGAAGGATTCATTGACAATGAGTGTAACAACCTTGTCTGTAAATTGAATAGACCACTCTATGGACTAAAATAGTCACCCCATTAGTGGTACAAATGGTTCTATTCTTTCATTCTCATTCTCGATTTCAAATGTTGTTAATATGATAATTGTCTCTATTTCAAATTTCTAGAAGGATCTTTCATGTATCTCCTACTATATGTTGATGAAATTTTGATAGTAGCAAAGAATATTAAAGATATTGAAGTGATAAAATCACATTGTGAAGCCTAATATGGAAACCATCTATCTCAAGGCAGGTTTTTGGATTTTGAAGATGATCGTGGTGCCTATAAATAAGGGCATGATAGAGTTCAAGGAAGGCATACCCAATGTTAAAGCAAGATTTTTGTGTTTTAATGTTTTATTATTTTATTTTATTTTGTTAACTTGCAGAATAAATATAGAATATATTTTTAAGTTTAGAAGTCTAAAGTTAAAATACTTAACATATTTTTTGATTATTTAAAAATATAAAAGAAAAAATATTCCACCCACTAGCAAGCTAGCACTTGACAACTAACTTAGAGGGACCCTACGGTTGAGTGAGTAGACCTAAACTAGGGGAGCCATAAGCTGGGCTCGAGTGGTGAAGGACTCACTCCATGCATGTGTGCGTTAGTCCCTTGCCATGTCTCAGTGGCTAACCCATCATGGAGCAAGGAGTGTCATACACACGTGCACATGCAAGGGTGGGCAACCTTTTTACCTTCTCCTAAGATGGTCCTAGGCATTATTTTATTTCAGGAGAAGGGATCTCTGATGAGAGATCATAGCTTTGATTTATATTCGGCTCGTGTACCAAAATATTTTCAATGTGGGACTAATCCTTTTCGTGTGTCTTAGGGCAGCCATCTCGAGCGTAGTGTGATCCAGCAATATTCAATGAGTCACATCATCAAATAAGTCAAATCTTGTAGTGGGTGAGATGCCACAATACCAGATGTGAAAAGTAATCCATCGACAGTTCAAAAATCCGATGCCACTCAACATGCATGTAGCCTTAAATGATGATTTGATAGCTAATAAGGTGCCACAATACCAAGAACTTAAGTTCTCGATTGGCAACGGTTCGTGGCAAGTTGATCTTGCGTCACTCAATGCGCCATGTGACTAAATATATCTGGTCCAGTGGCTCGTGATGCACCATAATACCAAGAACTTAAGCTCTCACACATATCAATATTAGGGATATGAAGATAATAATCAATTATTATTTGGTAAAATAGACATGATCAATTATCTTAAAAATCCCGATGATAGTCTGAAATATAGTAATCTATTTTCTCCCTCCTTTAATGCAATCAACGTCTCTACGATTGGCAAGTTCATTCCTTCCTCCCTTGATTGCACTCAAGGCCTCCAATGAGTGGTCAGCTCTTCCCTTCTCCCCCTAGACAACGATGACAACATGGTCACCCCTCTTTCGGCATATCTCTCCAGCAAACAGTGCAATGCTTCTAGATGATACTTCTATGACTTTTAACGTGGTGTGACATGTCCAGAAGAAACTAAGCTGCCACTCTAGTGTTTCTAGTTGCCCAAGAAACAGACTAAGCTTGGGCAATGATTTATTTCCTACATTCAACATTTACTTACCTACTTTTGTCATTTATTTATATTTTATGACAAGTTATTTTCATTTCATGCATGTTTTGATTAAAATGAGTAGAACTAATTTAAAACTTGATGAATGATTTTTGTTCTTCTTCTGAATCTTCCAAAACTCATTTAAGATTAAACTAAGATTATTTTTAACTTATTTTTTATTGATGTTTGTAGTCAAATCTTGACGTATTCATGTTCTGAGTGTTCTATAAATAATAGATACTTTTTTATTTTTTAATAAAAAATTAGTGAGGTTAAAGGCTATTTAATGATCATTGAATTGTTAAAATAATGTGGAGACATTCATAGCTAACCTCATGTTGTGTGTGAATTTTTGAGCACACATTCGTCTGAAAATAATGTTCACTGTGAAAACGAATTAACAATATTTCTCTCTTTCTTTATTATCATCTTATTTCTCTCTCCTTCTCTCATGAGACCACTTCTTCTCTCTTCGTCTCTCATGAGATTTCTCCCTTTCTCTCCCTCTCGCTCAATCGATCTCTTTCTCTTTCTCTTTCTCAATCGATCTCCCTCTCTCTCATGAGACCTTTCTCTTTCTCCATCTCACAGGAGATTTCCTCCTCTCTCTTTCTCTCTCTTTCACAAGAGATCTCTTCTCTCATCCTTTGTGACAGCTCTCTCTTTTTTCTTACTCTCTTTTCTTCCTTTTCTTTACTTCCCTTCCTTTATTTTTCTCACCTCACCCTTCTATTTTATTATTTCTGTTAAATATTGATAAAATATTAAAATCACTTTATATATAAACTAAATTAATTTTCACAACAGATTAATCAATCTCTATATATTTGACTTGAGACTTACTTTTATACTAATAGTTTATTAAGTCTTAATTATAAATATTATTAGATGATGTGTATTTAAACATAACGAAAATGGCACATCACCCAACTTTAAAAACGCAGGCCAAGCTTTTTAAGTGATTATTAAGTGTGAAGGAGAACCATAATTAGATTACATAGAAAACCATGTGAATCAAGATCGTCTCATTCATTTATTCACGAAACAACATTACAAGCCAGGTCTTAGAGAACCCCGTTATTCACATTCAAAGGAGAGGTGCTCCCTACTAGTATGCCTTGGAACCGATCACGGCTCCCCATTTGTCGGCACTCACAAAGTTGACAGCATTAGGCAGTGAACCACCCTCTAAGCATCCCATCAGGCAGGCTGCGCGCGGCACATCTACGCTGCACGGGCAAGACCTGATCTTGTAGGCAGATCTCGGGAATTCATCAGATTTATATATGGCGAACCTACTATAGTGAGGACCAATGCTCTGGGATACGGTTCCACCCGTCGCCAGGGTCCCCTCTTTGACTGTCCACACCGTAGACTCCGTACACTGGGTAGGCGCGGCAAACATGGCGTTGAACGTCCCCCCCTCGCGCACGGTGGAGCGGTCCGGGTTCTCCGGGAAGAACATGACGGGCAGCCCCCTGGCCATCTCCGATATCTCCCGGGTCACATAGAGTGGGCACGTCTCATTGAGGGACATCAGATTCAAGCCGCCGCCGAGGGGACCGAAGATCGCCGGGAGCACGTAATACTGGTGACCCCGTTTGAGCTCATTTCCGCTAGAGTCGAGGACTGGATCGGAGATGATCGCGGCATGGGAGGTGGCCAGGAGGAGCGTAAGGAGAAGGACAAACTCCATGGAATGTAAGAGCGGATGAAGCTAGTTAATAGAAAACTAGTTATAGCAGCACTTGGGTCCGGGTACGAAGCGGTATTTATAGTTGTTTGGGGAAGCTTCTGTAGACGCATTACTGAAACGGAAGTCGCGTGACAAGCTCTTATGTGGAAGATGACAGGAAACGGCGTCATGGTCGCTGCCCCAGTTGATGACGGATCGTATTCCCACGTGGGCCTTCTTTGAGGATCAGGCCGACAACAGATGCCTTATCCCATGCAGGTACGGACCAAAGGGATCCGCGTGGTCAAACTAACAGCGTTTAACACACGTTTAGCACTCGTCGTTTGAGCTGTTCAGAAATTCAGTGCGTGGATAACAGCGAACATTATGCATATTTGATCATTTATGGGATAACCCCTCTTATTACACACGTACGTATGTACATAGAGATGAGATGGAAAGCCCAACAGGACCTAACAATATGGATATATAAATAGTGAGACATTCAGACAACCAGACAGCATGACAGAGAGAGGGAGAGAGAGAGAGAGAGATGATAATGTACCGCGGTTTCCTCCTTAGGCGGTGGGGCAGCACATAACACTAGTCATGTAAAAAATATATCTGACGATCCTCCTAGGGACCACTTTAAACGGCACGTGGGAAGTATGTTTTAACGAAAATCTTTCTTTCTCTTTCTCTCTCTCTCTCCGTCTAGAGGCCTTTCACTTTATCCAAATGCTCATTTTTGTCATTTGGACACTCTTACATACTGTATTTGAGAGATACTCTACTTTTTAAGGACAATGTCTCTAAGTTCTATTGAATTTTAGGATGCACTTCAGTTAACACTAAGGGTTGAATTCATTAGATTCTAATTTTGACTTTTGGTCCACTCCAAAATTTATGAGCTCTTTCTTGTGATCTGGAATCCTATTACTCCTGAATCCTAGTTATCGTGATTTATCCCCCTACCTCTATCAAGTTTTAAACAACACCTGCTCTTTGGTTTCGTTAAATTAAATGTTTAACATGCACAACCATTGATTATTGAGCTTATCTATCATAAAATTTTACCCCAAATTTTCTTCTAAATTCATTATTTTAAGGAACCTGTGACTAATTACATACGAGATTACATGAGAATTTTTATCACAAGGCTTTCACTTAAAAATAAGGAAAGATTTCACTGTAAGCTATTTTTGGATGATGGTGTTCACTTGATGTCTGTTAGAAATTGAATTAAGACAGCAATGGTTCAATCTTAATTTTTCTGACCTCATTACATTACTAACTTGGATAATTTTTGAAGGTATTGGGTGATCAATATGAACAAGGAAGATCATGTATGACATAAATTTTGTTTGTTAACAAGTTGTTTTGTTAACGTTTGACCACAGAAAGAAGATATCTTAAATTCACATAACATTATTTGAAAAAGTAATAGAAAAATACTCCTAATCTAAGAGAGGTAAGAGATGAACGTTCAAAACTAATTAGCCATTGGAGATGTTCAACTCATAGAGGACTACAATTCTAAAGCCTCGTGTTTTCTATGATATCTTAACAAATTCCAAAATTTGTTAAATACTTGAACAGCTAGAAAGTAATATGAGATGGCAAGTTAAAGTTCAGATATCTTAAAAGAAAGTAATGCACATGATTGTTAGCTAACTACATATATGAGAATCAAAATTTATCAATACAACTATTTCAATAATGACCTATTATCACTGAAACATAAAAAAATAATACATCTCAAAAAATATAATACCTTTTTATCAAATCACCTAAAAGAAATATGAGAATCAAATTGGCATTAAAAGCTATCACAATATATAAAATCATAAATTTAGTGAGATAAGATAATTAGAAAAATATTTAAAATGGTCCGCAACCAACCATTTTGACCAGCCTTCTTCCTACATCTACTCCAACAATTCAAGCACTTCACCGGCGTGGCCATGCATGGATTACCCAGAGATCATTACATTCCAGGATACGACCCTCTTCTCCGTTAGTTGATCGAAGATAGTCCTCGCCACAGGGACCCATCCACCCTTGGCATACGTGTCAGTCTTCACCTTGTCAGGGAGGTGGAAGCCAACCCTCCAGCTCAAGCCGTGGATCTCTCGCCCCTTTGGCAGCGCCGAGGCATTGGCTGATGCTGAGATGGCCGTCACGAGCATCGTATCGGTCGCCGTAAAGCCATTCAAGACCATTCCGCGGCACAGCGCGAGCGCCCACAGAGGGTAGGCGTTGTGAGCGTAGGCGGCGATCATGGAGTTCCAGAACACGGCATATCTAGCCGGCATTCTGTCGAACGTTAACTGGGCTTCGCTCAAGTATCCCCATTTTGCGAACATGTGGATGAGCCCTGCGCCGACGAACAGCATCCGTCCGCCACCGGGAACGCATCATCCGGTCGTGGATGCACCTCCTCGCCTCTGTATTAGACACGGCGGAGCAGGCTTTGAGGACGAGGGCGAAGGTGTAGTTGTCCGGCTCGAGCCCTCAGTCGAACATTTGCTGGAAGTGCTCGACAGCCCTCTCATGGGGACCGTCCCAAGCGTAACCCCGGATGAGGACGTTCCAGAGGAAGATGTTCCTTTTGGGAATTCTCTCGGGCAGGGCCTGAGCGTAAGCCAGAGAACAGTAGACGGAGTAGAGGTTCACCTGTTTGGTCGCCAAGACGGCGTCGCAGCCGAGGCCCGCGACGATGAGAAGAGCGTGGAGCTGCTTGCCGGGTCCAATTGCCTTCCGGTTGACGAACGATTGCAGCAGAGAAGAAATGTGAAGGTATGATTGGCTAAAGCAGGCAGGGGCTGGGCGGCCTTCTCGGAGGCTTCAGTGAGTTCAGTGAGTAAGGACGACGGCCGCCAGACAGGAGGTGACCGCCAGAGGCAGAGGAGATGATTGGTAGAAGCGAGGCCGTTTTCTGAAAGATGGATGAACATCGCCGGCTCATGGGAGCCAGAGGAATCATCTGCCGGAGAAGTTACAGAGCTCAAAATGGAAACGGCTCCTGCCCATGTCCGTTTCGGGCACCGAGAGATGGGGCGAGAGTCTATAAGTCAATTTGACTTATAGAGGAGATTGCCGGAGAAAAGGTATTAATCGTCAAACATGAGCGGAAGCAAGGAGAGGATTCCGCAGGAATCAATCTCGACAAACCAGGGCGGGAGATCAGAAATAGAGACCGGCGGTGATCGTATACAAGAGAGAAGACAGCCCCCCTCCAAGGTCACGCCGGAGGAAGGTAATCTTCCCCGCTGTCGGCCCTAGTAAAAGATAGAGAAAGACAGCTTCGGATTAAATACGACAAGTTTTATACTTATTCTGTTTCGGACATGATTATTTGGCAAGAGCTTAAAAAATGGTGCCACATTTTGTGCTTGGCAGGCCCCTTTACACAGGCAGACATTTCTGTAAGTCAGTTGAAAAGATTTCTCCTAGTTGAATGTTTAAATTGTCCCCTTCGTACTCATTAGCTTGTTTCATTTATTGGCGCTATTCAAGTCAAAGGGAGAAGGAGAGGGACCGTGACAGAGGGGCAGAAAGGCAGAATGAGAGATGGACTCCACGCTTTACTACGGAGGCCTCTACGCACCCGTCCCATTTTCCTACCGCCTTCTCTGCCTGGCTCGAGGTGCTCATCAATTTTTCAGAAAACAGGCTCGCATCTATCAGTCAGCTTCTCTGCCTCCGCCTTCCTGTCTGGCGGCCACCGTTTCTACGCAGTGAAGCTGCCGTAAGTCGACGAAACACTGGTAGGTTTCCTCATTCTTTCCGCAAGTTGACAAAGGGGTTGAACGATAGGGGGGCTTCCTTTACCGTCACGTCATGGTCAGCGAGAACACTGTCAGCGGTGTTTGTGGACGAGACATTAGAGTGGAATGCGAATCCGTGTGGAATGAGAGAACTACGGGAGCGAAGACTATGTGTGAGAGCCAAAGTATAGGCAACAGGGAGAGAATAAAGGATTAACTGAGGCCACGGCAGAATGTAGAGAAGACATTCCCCCATCTTTAGAAGCATAGACTAATTTTTGAAGTGTTTCATTAAGTTAGAAAGATCAACAACCCATAGTTCAAGGGCAGCAGTTGAGATTATGAATTTATATACTAAAGTCCGAGAAGGAGAGCCATAATTGGATTAATCAGATATCGATGTAAATGAGAACTCTCTCATTCATTTATTCAAGGAACACCACGACATGGCAGGTCTCCGAGGAGCCCATTATTCACCTGCAATCGAGAGGTGGTTCCCTCGTCTACGCCTTGGAACGGATAACGGCTTCATCCGCCTCAGCATTCATAAAGACAACAGTATTAGGCAGTGAATCAACGACTGAGCATCCAACGCGGCAGGATGGGCGCTCTACATCGACGCTGCACGGGCAAAAGCTGATCTTGTAGGCGGATCTCGGGAATTCATCAGATTTATGTATGGCGAACCTACTATCATGAGGAGCAATGCTCTGGGATACGGATCCGCCCGTCGTCAGGGTCCCCTCCTTGGCTCTCCACACCGTGGACTCCGTGCACTGGGTAGGCGCCGCAAACATGGCGTAGAACGTGGCCCCCTCGACCACGGTGGACGTGTCCGGGTTCTCCGGGAAGAACATGACGGACAGCCCCCAGGCGACCTCCGATTCCTCCCGGGCCACGGACAGGGGACAGGTCTCGTTGAGGGACACCAGCTTCAGGCCCCCGCCGGTGGGACCGAAAATCGCCGGCAGCACGTAGTACTGGCGACCCCGTTTGAGCTCATTTCCGTTACTGTCAAGGACTGGATCGGAGATAATCGCGGCATGGGAGGTAGCCAGGAGGAGCGTAAAGAGAAGGACAAACTCCATGGCATATAAGAGCGGATGAAGCTCGCTAATAGAAAACTAGCTGTAGCAGCACTTTGGGTCTGGCCATGAAGCGGTATTTATACATGTTTGGGGGAGCTTCTGTGAAGGAATGACGGGAAGAAGGATGACGTGATAAGCTCTAATGTGGAAGATGACAGGAACGGCGTCACGGTAGCCGCCCCAATCGTTGACAGATCTTCCACGTGGCCTTGGAGGATAGGCCAACCGCATACGCCTTATCCATGCAGGTAAGCGACAAAGGGATCCACGAGGCCAATCTAAAAGCGTTGAACACCAGTCTAAGGCTCGCCGGTTGACGGCCTTAAAAAATGGAGTGCGTCGAGAACGGCCAACACGATGCATATGCAATCAGTTTTAGATAACTACATCTATTTAGATGCAGGCACATAGATCAGAGGGAAATCCCATTACGAGTTAATACTCTCGATACATAAACAGTTACACATATAGACGGAGAGAGAGAGAGAGAGCGAGAGGGAGGGTGGGTGGGAGGAGAAAGAAAGAAAGAAAAGAGTGGGTGGTTGGAGAGGGAGAGGGAGAGAGAAGAGAGCGAGCGAGAGAGGGAGGGAGAGAGAGAGGGAGGAGAGAGAGAGAGAGAGAGAGAGAGAGAGAGAGAGAGAGAGAGAGAGAGAGAGAGGAGGAGGGAAGGGAGGAGAGAGAGAGAGAGAGCGAGGGGAGTGGGTGGGAGGAGAAAGAAAGAAAGAGAGTGGGTGGTTGAGAAGGGAGGGAGGAGAGAGAAAGAGAGCGAGAGAGAGAGAGAGAGAGAGGAGGGAGGGAAGGGGGAGGAGGAGGGAGAGAGAGAGAGAGAGAGAGAGAGGGAGGGAGGGAAGGGGGAGGAGGAGGGAGAGAGAGAGAGAGCGAGAGAGAGAACGAGAGAGAGAGAGTGAGGAAGGGGTTATTTGCCTAAATTGAAGTATTACATGTGTGCTATGCTGGCGTGAGATTCTGATGGGCTATTATCAGCAATTAGTCACCGAAGCAGGGGACTATTAAAATGGCCAGGAAATGGACCCGAAGCTTTACTGGGCTCAAAGGATATGGATCAGCAAGATCTTAATAAGGCCCAACTCACACGGGGTCTGGATCAAGTGAGCTCCTTATTCTCGGGCCGTTCCAGAAAGCCCGAAAACATAACGAGCATAACAACCTTCCGTAGGGAGAGGAAGATTCGAGATGGAAAAGCGGACTCGATACCGGACGACGGGGGGAGAAGAAGATGAGAATCGAGCCTTAGGCCTCTCTTGTGTTTTCTTTAGCGTCTTTCACTTTTTCTGTTCTGATTCTTGATTCTGTTTTTCTCCGCTGAGAGAAATCTATGTATCATCTTGTTCTTGAACGGAGAAATCGACCTATTCCTCTGGTGATTGTCGGGAAGGTCTCACGCCTTTGTGAAAATGGGAGGATTCCATCAGACTCCCTCCTCCTGGTGTCCACAGAGGCAGATGAGTAGAAGAGTAAGTGACGGAGAAGAAGACAGTAACCTCATCTTCTTTACATGACATGGTGAGGGAACCGTCAGAAAGATTGAAGAACAGGAGGGCAAATGAGCGCAACGTGGTAGGCTGAGCCAGAGCGAAATGTAAGGTAGAAACTGCTGACAGATTTGAGACTATCATAGTTTCTGCCAAGTAGCTTAAATAGGTTATGTTTTAAAATCAACACTGTCATAGTTGATTTATAGTCGAATCATTTCATGGCTGGAAGAGACTACTACTTACAGCATAGTTTAAATGACAAATTGTGCAAAGCATTGCGAATCAATATCGAGTATGTCAGAGACGACATCGGAGTTGGCTGCTACATACAAGGTGAAGAAGAGAACTGACAGAAGAAAAAGTGATGGGGATGAAAATGAGAATGAAATATAAGTCAAATAAACGATGCAGAAATCACAAACACTAATAGAAATAGAAGAAAGAGAAATTCAAGCCTGGATAATAATCATCCATGGTCAGGGAAGTGAGCTTAGAACCGGACGGTTCAGGCAAACCGTCAAATGTAGAGTGCTCATAATTAACAATACAGATCTAAATTATCACAGGAAAAAGATCACATAATGTATTAAAATAGTGGTTATCTTATAAGAACACTCACGGTGATGATGATACAAAAAATATATTAAAGGAGTAGGGAATACCAAGTGCAAGAAACAAGAGAACTAGTCGAGGAAAGAAGTCAATAGAGAGACCTGATTAAGAGAGGGGTCGATCATTGACCATTGGCCAGAGGCGTCGTTGACCAGTGACCGTTGCCCATTGTCCGCGCTGAAGCCGTTGAATGTTGAGCAAACAGAGGGCTGTCTGCTGGTCGACTATGGCTCGGGCCCGATGGAACTGGCTGGCGGGTTTGGACCCAACGCAGAGGTGACCCGGTGAGTGGCGAAGGGAATAACTCCAGTAATGGGCCTGGGGAAAGGCGGACCAAAAACCGCTCGTCGACTTTAGGCCCTAGCTGTTCCAAGAACGCCGAACCGGCGGCTGATTCTGTAAGCGAGAGCGTCGGTGAGGGAAACGGACGGACGATAGGGGAGGAGAGAGGAGATGAGGGCAGAGCTGGCCGGGAGGAGGTTCGTCGTCGGCGGCGAAGGCGGAGACGTAGGAGACAGGGGCGGGAGAGTGGCGACGACGACAGAGGGGAACGGTGTTAATAGAGGCGGCTGGGGCGAGACGGTGGCGATAGTGGCTGGCGGAAGGCTAATGGCGGCGATGGAGCGAGAAGGCGTCGATGGAGGCGACCTGACGGTTGCACGGCGGCGATAGAGGGAGAGGTCGACAATGGGCAGCAGAAGGGTGACGGTGGCGTCGGAGGGGGCGACAACAGTGGTGGCGGACAGAAGAGGACCGGCGGCAACGGCGATGGATGGCCGCGACCAACCCTACCGGGGCGACGGGGTCCTCACGACCAACCCTAACCAGGGCGACGGGGTCCTCACGACCGATCCTGACTGGGGCGATGGGGTCCTCATGACGAACCTTGACCGGGGCGACGGGGTCTCACGACCAGCAGTAGGCAATGGAGCTTCTGCAAAGGCAAACTATTCTTCAAACTCTGGTTGTTCTCTAAGGACCGGCCTTTCAAAGGCTTTACAAAGCAAAATAAAGTAATGAAAATAAATAAAAGTCTCATTAAGTGAGAGGCATCTAATAGTAAATGAAATCCTTCGATTGTGGGCGGATGCCTGGACCAAGCTTGAATCCTCATGTGGGCCAGCTGAGTCCAGAGTGGGCCCCCGTCCTGCGTCAAAAAAGAACGGCCGACTCCATCGGGGACAGCACGTCTCTAGGCGTTCATTAAAGTCTTGCGTATGGAGATGGTCTCGAAAATGTGCCACAGTTTCCTGTTTCATCAACGCTTGGACCATGGGCATCACATAAGACTAGCCACCACAATGGACTTATCTGACGATCCTCCTTGGGATCAGGTTGAATGGCATGTGAGACGTGTAGTTTTAAGGAAAATCTCTCTCTCTCTCTCTCTCTCTCTCACCCTCGCTCTAGGTCTTTCACCCTATGGAGATGCTATCACGCACAATGGAGATTTTAATTGCCGAGATGTAGTCTCCCACGCTTTCTCTCTCGCTAGTCTGTCGTATGTGTGTTGAGCACTAAAAACAATGCGTGTTAAAAAAAATAAAACAGAAAATTGGACACCCAATAAACTTGTGCCCATAAAGGATTATTCCACAGTTTCTACTCGGATAACCCAATGATTCAACAGTTAATCATTATCCTTACTCCGAGGTGTACTAGTTCTTTATTGATGAAATGAAGGTAAACTATGATCATAATGACCATATGATGGGAACCATTTGATTTTTGTGTGGAACCAATGGCTGAGACTGGCAACGTAGAGGGTGCCCTCAAATAACAGCATGGGGGATGTCAAGATTGCTAGAGCGACACAGAATCAGTGCGGGAAAATAATTGACGGTTCAAAGTTTCAAGCTTAACTATTGATGGACTTGACACTCGTCATGTTTCTGAAAATTAACAAAACTTAGTTTTCCTCTGGGAGAAATGAACTACTCATTTTTCCAATTAGGTGATTCATTAGAACTAGTAAGTAATATAGATTTCCTAGTCTATTCATGGTATCACTAGTAGCAGAATGATAATTTCATGATCTGTATGATCTATTGAAGAGATTTGGTTTTCCTGAAAACTAAATCTTTCATTATGCCCACTATAATTCGTTATGATGATATACAGTTTTGACGATCATGAGTGTCAACCACAAACAACACATTATACTAATTCAGTAGGTACCTTTTTCATTACCACATTTTATAAACTACTAGCGATAATCTGTAGAACGCATGTTTTACATCCTATGTCTAGGAATAGGATATATTACGCCATTAAAACAATTAAATATGTTTATTCTCTGTGGATCATCATAAATCTTAACTAGCATTAAAAGTCGTAACTAGCATTAAAAGTCGTTGTCAATTCATAGTCTTCATTTTGTCCTCAATGTCCTTGAATGAGTTTGTCAATCATTTCGAGGGTTCTCATGCTGATGAATTATTTTATTCCTAATGGATATCCTAAGCCTGAAATTCAAGATCTTGCATGAGCATGACTATGACTAGGTTATATTTCCTATTCTAGATTTACAGTTAGGTTTCTTTATAATATGGAAAAGAGACATTTTTGGGTATCCTCGTTAAAAGAGGAGTCTTATGTTAGATCCCTACCTGGTCATCCAAATTATGAATAAAATCCAAAGACTACGGGACCATTTAATTTCTTTAAACTAAGCTGTAATAGGTAAGCCACGTATCATTCAATAAGACCAACATCCTAAATGTCTATAGCATTTGACATAAATCAATTATTTAATTATGGCCGATATGTTTTTGAGAATACCATAATAGTAGGACAATGTTTCAATATTTTGATGTGTACCTTGGCTCTTGCGTAGGGTTGAATCCCAGCAGTATCACGAAGATTGGTTGAGGACGTTGCACTGGATGCAGG